ACAAATGGAAATTCGCTTAGTCGGCAGGTTTGCTGCGGCGGGAGTATTTATTCCTAGCTTTGTAAAAATGGGGAAAGAAAATGATGTCACTTCGTACAGTGTCCTCTTGGTTTATTAATATCATCGTAACATAATACTACTGTACCACAGTCGTATGTTTAAAGGGTAAACGTGGTAAATTGATTATAATATTATTAGTTTAGAACCATACAGGTTGCAAATCTGATAGTAATTTGTTTACTTGGCTTTCAATCAATGACTCTTACTAATGAAATAGCTGATGTTAGTCAGTAACAATCTCACACCATTCTACACTCATCGGTCACTTATATTTGGTTTAAAATACCCAAATAGGCGTCCCCATCTCAATTGATAATGATAACATAAGTATATTAAATTGTCCCGGCCAAAGTTAACCCAGCTAATCTAAGTAAGTAGCGAATCTAATCTAATTCTTTCAAAATTCATCTTCCATACATCTTTGCAATAAAACGCAACCGGGAGTGTTGGACTTTGTAGTGAATAGTCAATGTGTGAACCTAATAATAAGTTCTACATTCGTAACTATGTGGTAAGTTTGTATAATGATGCAACTGACTAAATAAATATAAATCATTTGATGTTAATATTAATTGCTGTTTTTGTCAAGTTATTCACTTATTTGTACTCGTATAATTTTATATTAATCAGCCGTAACAAAATACCAACAGAACAAACAGTAATAAAAAAAAAAAAATAAAACTAAAAACAACTGAAAATCAAAGAGTGTTTTCAGGTGCAAAAAACCGGCGAGAATATTTCCCATTATGAAAAAGGGTCACGGTCAAAGGGAAATTGAGAGCCTAAACCCAGGGCTCAGCCGATGTCAATTTGCTCTTTATTTGTATCCCGGATTACGTTTAGCGGACGAAGGTTTTATATCCACCCATCAATGCGGGATATGTTTTCTGTTCAAATTCTAAATGTGTCAATGCTATTTTAGTCCTGCAATATATTTGCTTATGCATTGCTATTCATATTGGAGCACAACATTTTTAATTTTGCACGACTTTTTTGCATAATTCAAGTCAGTTGGAAAGAGGAAAGATAGTTTATAATATTTTAGACTATTATACCTAGAGATTGCATAACACAATTAATTGTTTACTATCATTGTAGAGTGTAAAGTAAAGTAACTGTTGATTTTCATCACTATATATATTTCAGAAAATTTTTAAAGTTTTTTTGTCCTTTTTAACAGATTCAGTATAACGGGTTCATCGCATTATTAATACTTATCATTAATTAACATACTATTACAAAACTACTAACTATTTCCCAATTTGTATTAAGTTTAATATTCCCATTTAATTATGTAATTGTTTATATTTTAGGTTAAATGTATTTGATTTTACAGTGAAGCTTATTGCCTTTTTTAGAGTGGCTTTATAATGTGTTTGTTGTTTTTGGTTCAACATGGTGCAAGTAGTGTGTTATGATTTACTCATACCTTAATCTAAGTTAGGTTAAATTTACACTGTGTAATTTCTGTTAAAATAAATTATGAGAAAAATATTTCTCTGATTCAGATTTCTGATAAGAATTTTTTAATGATATCTAAATACAATATTGAGGAATAATAGTAGCAGCATTCTTAAATTCTAATTTTATATTGGACGTAAATTTTGTTTTATTCTATGTTTCTTTGAATAACAATCTATATGGCTGTATATTTGCTCAGTCTTACAACTTTTCTCTAATAGAGGTTTATCAAAGTTATTTAAAAGACATTTTCTCACCATCACCTCTTACAAAGTAATAAAGTACAACAATTATCTATACAAAAAAAGTCATCATTTCCTGGTGTTATGATAAAAACAAAATGATTAGTTTTTAATTATGAAGAAAAATCTACTTTAACAACTCACATTTGACAGTTTTTCGAGGAGTTAGCGTTATTTCCTCAGAGTGTTAAAAGGTAAGCAAGTACGTGATGATTTTAATATAAGTAATGAAATCAGCCTTTGGGTCTCATATCAAAGAGGAATCCTTGAATCGGAGACCTTTAGCGCGCAATAAACTCTGAAGGAATGCCAAAGATTCTTCAGACTTTGGTAATTTTAAACCTTTGATCTTTTAGAACCGATCTATTCTTTATCTTCACAATGGATGCAATTAATTTAAGACTCAGTAAAGCCAAATTAAAAATAAATAAGGCAATGCAGGTTGTACAAGATCGTCTTTAGTTGATATTTAGAATCTCAAAATCTATAAACCTACTTTAACCCTTAGGCCTAATGGATGTCGCAAATGAAAATAAATTAAATTAAGTCTTATTAATCAACTATACATTTGAATTTATTGAAGTGAATTCCTTGTGTAATGTATATTAAAATACCTTAAATCGAAAAGAATGGCCACGTTAAGGGTCAGTGGAGTCCTGGGCAAACCCAAATGTACCTGGCGGACCTGGGCTTAAGCCCAAACTGCCCGTTTATAAAAGCGGGCCTGTCGAAAAGAGTCAACCAAATAATAATGTTTAGCATATGGTGAAAGCCAACTGTACCGGCATTGAAACGATAATAAATACTTTGTCATTTCATCGACATTCTATAAATGCTTTAATAACCAGCAGTTCAATATTTTTAGGGTATACGAATTTTTATACTTTCCATCAATTTCAATTTGTCAATTGAAACAGAATTTCATTAGTATGCAGGAAAGGTACTGGTGTGACAGGCCAATTTAGAATCAATTTATTGAACAATGGCGGAGAACTGTAAAAGTTTCGGCTGTTGGAAACTGTAATTTATACATTTAATTGGAACCCCATTCTCCATTGGAAATTGGAATGCACGGGGTAAAGAATGTTTTGGTCTGTAATTAGATTTTCATTGAATTATGTGGTGTTTGTTTGAATGCGAATTCCAATATTGATATGTAAAAGTTGTTAGTGTTCGGTTGATAGTTAGTCTATAGTTAGTGTGGCAAAATCGGGCCCAGAACTTGCCAAACAGAACTTGCCCTAAATAAAAATTTTATAACCCAGTGGTTTGGAGGTTAAATGTATCCCCACCTTTAAAGTAAAAAGAGATACGATTTTCTGGCCAAGAGAGCTAAGTTTCAACGTTCTGCCTCAAATAAAAAACACTTTTAACCATATAAATTGATTAGTCTTCAAACTATACTATACGGTACCTTTATTTATTACAAACCAAGAGTAGAAGAGTCGAACACCAACATAGTGGCTGTTAAATTAATCATTAAATATGAGAACAAAAAACATACAGGCAACATAAAATCAAACGAAGGAAACCATTCATGAAACAAGTACATCAAAATGCATACAATTTTACAACATCGTCATGAAGAATCTATCTACAGTATCCAAAATAAAAACAAAGCCAACGGTTTACCCTCATGAAGTAATGATTTGTAAATATTTAAACTGAAAATGTTTTTTAAGTTTTACTAGATGAAATTCAACATGTAATTGTTTTTAAATGTCAAACAAACTCATTAAAATAGTATGAAAACCTAATTATAATATTAAAACATAACAATTTCATATAATCCAAAGGAGTCATAAAAAGTTACGTAACCAAATAGACCTTTATGAACTTGTTACCAAGTTAAAACAAACCTTGAAATGGTGTACTGTTAAATTGTAACATTTCTGGGCTACAAATAGCTAAAGGACAGACAACTGAAACTGTCACGAATTGAGTACTTTTACTTCGGGCCAACTGTTTTTATTACGTGTTTATTAATTTGGCAAACAAGAGGGATTTAGTTTTCCAGAGTTGCATATTTTATTTACCTTCCAGGCGAACAATTTTTAAATTGCTGGCCTCAACTTGAGCACATTTAACATGCTTTAGATGTTTATCGAGTAAAACTATAGATCGTTGATGATGAAAATAGTGTTTTTCATAGTTGAAGAGTTATATTTTACAAAAACCAGATACCTAACCACAAATTATTGAAATTTATTTTGTCAAACTAATATTGATTACCGTAGTATTAATTTTTTAATGTAAAAAGTGTTTTTAAAATATTACTCCTGTCCTATATTTCCTTGTATACGGTTTTATAATGTCACTGTTGACTATAATGAGGTAAAATAGTTGCTGATAATAAAATACAACTGTATAGTATATGCCAAGTGACAGGGCTTGATATCAATAAATTAAGATGCCGGAACTGAAAGCAACTGGGTATTTTTTATAAATACTATATTTTGAAACTAAACACAATTTTATTGTTCGAAGTCCTGGAACGCCATTCCACAACATTACCGAAAATCAATCCCTGTTCATTAGACTACATATAAGTGCAAAGGTAAGAATAGGGATTTTACTAAGGTTCCATGGGTGGCTCCAGCACGGACTCTCGGAGGCATTGCTTGGAATCTTGGGTTGTAGGCTGTTTACCCCCGGGGGCTATAAAATCACCGGGGGCTGGAGGGTACATTTAGTGACATTTTTTGGTAATATTTCGATGGATTAAGATTAAATCCTAGAAGACATTTAAATTTAAGGACAATATTTATATTTCCCGCTCAATGTATTTTGGAGTATTAGTATTGTGACAAATTCAACTACAAATAAATTGAGTGTAAGTCAAGGAGCCTTATTTTCTATAAAAAAGTACTTACTGTACTTTCTATAAAAAAAACCCAATTAAGTTTAATTTAAAGGAAAAGGGATTCCTATAGTAATCCGCATGCAACCACCTCAGCCGTCTTGAATAGCGAAACTTTTTGCTGCAAGTTGAAGTGAAATTTGAGTAATTCTGTCACTTAAATACACAAAAGGGCTGTTTCGGAGTCGATAACAGCAAAGTTACTTCAGGCAAGTGTAAATGTGCAAGTTTGTATTTTGAAGTGCGAGGATGGAAAATGAAAGTGAAGTATTGACAACTGCCGGCAGGGGCATAAGTGTCAGTTCATTTCCGCGCATGCGCACAACAGCGCTGTTGTTCCAACAGCTGATTTGAAATGGCTGCTCTTGATCAAACTGAGCAGACGCCAACTTCGCCGTCGAATTTTATAAGGTTCCGTGTCTAGACGGTGTTTACTTCAGTCAGGAATCGGACTTCGAAATGGAACCTTATCGGTGTGATTGATTAACTGAATCGCGTATCATCAAACTCGATATTTCTAAGTTAAATTATGGCTTTTGGATTCACTGTTGCAAATGATGTTTATTGGTTACTTTTCGTGGTTGTGTTCTTTTCAGCAAATTTGGGAGACTCTCTGCTGCTGATAAATGTTAAAAATCAGGTATGTGAAAAGTGATTGTGATTTGATGTGACTGAGTGCATTTTAAAGCCTTGGGAATCAACATAACAGTTTTAAGCAAGTAACTTAGTCAAACCTATGATGATTCGGCTTGGCTTAATGCCAAGATGTGGAACTGCAAAGATATGGAAATTTCCAGGTTAGGGTATCCTGCTCTAGGCCTAAGTTGATGCTGCCACCTATAGCTTAACTTAGTGCCCAAGAATTTAGCCTAGGCCATACCTACCCACCCACTAGGGCAAGATGAATAGTGTGCCTTTTCCCTGTTTAATGGGCTGGGTAAAATTTTACTGTTCCATAACAAACTTAACCTTAGGGCGCTTAACTTAGGGCTACCTAAAAAAACCCTAAACCATTAATCTTCCAAATAAACAGAAGCGATTTCGGTAGGTGTATGGCTCTGGGGAGTAAGCAAGATTTAAATCCCTATTCTGTTTTATCAAAAGTTTGAAAAAATTTCCCCGAATAGGGATAAATCTCGCTTAAAAACTCCCCAGAGCCATACACCTACCGCGATTTCCTGTCCATAAGTTAGTTCACTCTTTGTCCATATGTTAGTAATAACTTAGGCCTTATTTGTGGCAACCATGACATCACCGCACTCTGTTTTAAGTGTACACTTTGCTCTGTGAGTAGGCTACCCTAAGTTGGACATTGACAGTTAGCAACTACATCGTATTACCTCGAACAATAATTTAAATGTCTCAATTTGATCGATAACCGAACTTATGTTAGTATAGGCCTAAGTTAACTGAAAACTGATTGTTTGATCAGTTTGTTACAGTACAATTGATGCTTAGGCATAACTTCTAAGGCAATAGGTTACACAACGGATTCTGATATCAAAGTTTTACCGAAGTAAGCTTCTCCACCATTTAAAAGTTTACCGTACTGTGATTCTCAAATTATATGGGTAATAGATAAGTTTACTAGCCTATTTTGTTTGATTGTAAGTTAGGCCTAGTGAAAACTAGATTAAGATTGGACTCCGTTTTAAGCCCTTTGTCTATTCACATCCAAAGTAGGTATAAGCTTAACTTAAGTCTCCATCTTTCATATTAAGTAGGGCCTTACCAAATTACTGATCTAGTTTGTCATTGGGCCTTGTGACTTGTGGGTAGGATTAATTTTAAATTGGGTTTAAGGTTAGGGTAGGATAGTTATCTTCTCATAAATTTTCATTATTTCCATTAGCATATTGCTTACCTTCTGTTTGCACAATAAAATGTTTTAAGTAGGGAGTTGATAGGTACCGTAGTCTACTGAAATTATTTGGAATTCATTGTTCCCTAGTAAGCTACCGTAAGGTTATCATCGACTAACTTAATATAAGATAACTTTCCGGTTTACTAGACATAAGGTACTAGCCTCTATATTTGAGCTAAACTCAGGCTTTGCCAAAAGTGAGGATTTAAAAGTATGGAAACGTACATAGTATGCAGGCTACAGAAGGTAAGATGTAAATGACCATCATATCTGGAAATGTCACCTCTAGTGAAATTTCTCATGTTGTTTTCTTTGGTTAAGTCATGTAGAAATAATTAAAACTGAAAACTGGCTGAGTAGCTGGTTGGTTATAGTGCTCACCTAACAATCAAAAGATTTCCGGTTCGATAGTAAAAATTCAGTACCCTAGCGTTTTGATGATTCGAAACTGGACCGAGCTGTTCAACTGATCATTGGGCTTTAATAGGTATAATTGATCCCGACTGATGAAACAGCTGATCTTAGTCCATAACAAAGCTACACAGATCATCTCACATCATTCTCTACACTCATTCTCTACTCATATTTAAGTTATTACCTAGGTGGCGTCCCCATCTAAATTAATCGATGTTCCTCTTTTTACTAAGAAGACCACTGGCTATTTTATTGTAGCCAATACTTGCAAACCTGGTGCTTTTTATTAGCCTTAATTATGTGTTTAACTTTGGTTCTGTTGCTAGCCTAGTGGTTAGCGTCTCGGACTTTGATACGGGAGGGACCGGTACAATTGCCGGCACACCCTCAAAACTTTAATATGGGTTTTGTACTGCTTTCCTCTAAAAGCGTTTGACTTCACTGTTAATTTCTAGTAAAAAATGCCATTGGCGGGGGGAAAAAAACTTTGAATGGATTTAAGTTTTAAAAAACGTACAATTTAAAAAAGATTCGTGAACCATCAGTGTTTTACAAATTTTTAAGTGTAGAAATTATGTCATTGCAAATTTCAAGCATAACGGTAAGTAACGTTCAGAGTAAAAAAAAACAACAACAAAAAACGCTATGATGGTGTCATGAGAAGCTAAAGTTTGCAGAGTTAGTTAAGTTACTTGCAGAGAGTTAATTAAGTTTAATTTATTCATTCTTTTTCTGGTCAAATATCACCGTGTCTACTTACTTTTATTGGTTTACTAGTGTTACCCAGCGTGCGTTGCTGCGCTTAAGAGACTGCATTCGAACCTTTGATATAGCCTAGTGCTGTATCATGGTCAGGGAGGTGCCTTAAGGCCAACACACACCAGACCTATTTTCACAATATAGGCTAGGCCTAGTCTGTTTTTACTTATAAACTAGCAAGAACTATTAAATGAGTTAGTCAACACATCCACCGGTTGGTTACAAATGAGGTTCTATGTGTAAGCCTACATGACTTTGACCACACATTTTTGGCAATGTGCGGGATTGAAAAAAGTGCACTACAAATAGTAGAGGGGGGACGTCCAGGCACAGACGTATGCGGTGATATCCTCACTGAGTGATTTCGTTGCGTCTGCATAGACCTTTTGGTTGTGTTGACCCATTTTTTAAACAGGCTAGCAATATTTTTGTCTGCGGACAGACGGACACCTGGTGTGTTGGCCTTTAGACAGTTCAACTATTGACCACACCTTAACTTTACTGCCTTCAAACTAAAGCCCAAGCGTGGTAGTTTATATTTAACATCCATGAAGCTCACCACCACATAGTCCTCGAGAAGCCATTTGTGTTGTGTTGATCTCAAATAAAATAGGCTAGCTGTTGGTAAAGCCAGAAAAGATTTATTTGTGTACTATGTCACAAATCAGAAATTTATTTCTAGAGGATCAGGTGATCCTTCGAATTCGCTCGGTAATAAGAAAGTGAATTTGGTTAACAAATAAGTCAAAATCAAGAACTACAGACACAACGTACCTTTAGCTTGTCTCACTACATCTCTCTTCAGGTAGTAGGAATTTATCATACAGTATTTAAGTATTAAAACAAATGTGGAAATTTATATTTGAGTTGTTTTGACTCTGTATAACTGAACAAACTATAAAAGGTATAAAATTACCTGAGTGATCCTGTATAATCCTTACAGGTTACACGTTTCGAGGAGTTAAGTCCTCATCATCAGATCTCGTACAATTACATTTAACACTGTCACTTTGTCGTAAAAAACAGTGATTGTAACACAAATTTAACCCTAGGCCTACTACATTTCAGCAATAAAGGCAACATTATGGACACTTAAGAATTTGAAATTTATAAATTCAACCTAACACATTATTAAACGACAAAATCAGTTTCCAGTCTAACGCTTTGTACGATAGGTACTCTAATAAAAAACCAAGAATAGCTAATGAACAAGGAGCCGAGAGGTACAAAGTCCACCGCCCGACCATCTTCCGTATCATAGTCATGACCTTCACCTACAACTATGCGCACACGGTCGGACATAAAGTTTTTGTCGGTAACTCGTTTTAGTACGTAAAACGTCTACATCTCTATATAGTATTTGTCCAAGTTTCGTATTTAAACTCTTCACGACCTTTTCGAAGTGGTAGTGTTAAATGTTCTTGTACGAGATCTGATGATGAGGACTTAAGTCCTCGAAACGCGTAATTTGTAAGGACTATACAGGATCACTTTGGCAGCACTCAGGTAATTTAAAAGATCGCACGACTCATCCTACACTCATCTCCATTTATACTTGGCTTAAAATACCCTTATGTACCCTTTTGTATGGTCACCATTTTTATTGAAAAGTATTGAAGTATACCTTTAATTGTAGAAATTTAATTTGCAAGTGACAAAGACCTTTTTATAGATGACAAATTTAGTTGTTTTGCACGTTGTAAAACTTACGTTACACAGTTTAATTTCAATGCAGAACGGGTGAATAGAATCTTGCAATCACTCCCCAGGGCTTAGGCGGTGCGGAGGTGATGATGGCAACCCTGATCCAATTAAAGTTAACTCGCAGCCCCTTGTTAATTAAATACATAGCAGAAACTGTAATAGTTAATTAACCTCGATAACAGGTTCCCGCAGGAATATTCAGGTACAACTCCTTCTCTTTGTTCATTAAATATCTGGATAGAGTGTTTAAAAATAAAGATAAAGTTTTCGATGCAATTATATAATTTATGATCAAGAGTTTGTTTTATTTTTTTCATTTAAGGCTTGATCAGAAATCGGTTCAAACTGAAGTTTAATTGACTTAAGTATAATTCGTTGTACAGGAGTGATCAGTTTATAATAAAATATTGTTACCTTTTGGATTTTGAAGTAGACAACCTGTAAACATAGACCATTTTTAGTCAATTGTGTTTTTTTGAAGGATGATGAGCCACTTTTTGATTGTAATCTACATGAGAATAAAATGTCTATTTCTATTTATAATCTGAGTTATACTCCCAATGACAAATGCCAACATATCACAGGTCATGGTAACTTGAGAAAGTACTCACATTGCCTTAGGGTCTGTAATTAGGTAAAGCATGAAGGAAAAAAGGGAATTGTGAGGAGACTGCATTCTTCTCTTTACCATTCATTTCTTCTAAACATGTTTTAGGACAAAAATGTTGTCTATTGTTGACCGTTTTGCTCAGAATGCTGCCTGTTCCTCTATTTGTTAGTGTGAAGTTTCTTTTTCAAAAATATCTAAATCTTGGATAATAAACAACCAATTAAAAGTATTCCTGCCAATCCTCTATAATTCTCCGGTTTCTTATTTCCCTTCTTATTTTATAGGTGTG